TAGCAGATGCAATAAGCGATATCCATAGCGTTCAACGACACGCGCGTGCAATGACATTGTCATTGAAATCAATAGCAACAAAGCTTGAAACGAATGAACTACGACGGAGGTAAATACTTATAGTATATGCCTGAAAAAATATTTATACATTTGTATGCTTACATAGTAGGCCATGCTTTTTGATGCGTTTTGTGGCATGCCACTTAATGTTATGCCTCGAAAAGTGTGAACTACAATTTTTAAAACGTCAGCAAACAGCTGTTGGATTTTCATGAGCAAAATTATGCTCCCGAATAAAAATTATTTATCGTTTGAACTTTTATCTTATCAGAAATATTCTCCGAACTAGCCGAGTAAATCCGACTGCTGTTTGAAAAATTTTTAACTAAAATCTACCACTTTATTGACACCAGTGTGTGAACCTATGACCCATCAACTGTCACTCACGCACTCATCTCACTCGGCTACACTAGTTACTGTACGTAGCGTTACAAAAACGATTAAAAGCAGAGAGCTACTGCGTATGTTTGTATATATGTATTTGAATATAGTTCGTAATGCATTCTAATAGCATAAATTTTGTGCGTTGCCTACCAATTTGCTTCGGATCGTATCACAATCATGGCTATTGGCACTACAAATACATACCCGTGCATATGGCAGAGCTTTACTTGCATTGTTGTTAGCCAGCAAATATGGTGATCTATTACACAGTGATACAGTGGGTCATAATACAGTGGGTTATAATAGGAGTAATCGCGATGGTTGGGGTGCAGATTTATAGGATTTTAAGTTGTAAATTTTATTGGAAATTAACGAAGCTCTTGTCGTTTTTGACTCTTTGCTACCCATTCAGCCGTATGAAAGAGTATGTAAATATTTATGATCAAAATTAGAAAGAGCTCATAAAAATATATGTTTTGATATTTTATTGCAGTTTTCAAAAAAAAAATCAAGTGACTGGCAAAAATCACTATAGTACTATAAAATAGCTCGAAGAGACGGAATGTGTATAGCAAATCACTTATTTTGGCATATCTTGTTATCGAACTTTGGTTTGTGTTGGTAATGATTAGAAAGCAGTAATTGACTTTTTGAAAAGGTTAACAAACCAGTAGTTTCATATGTAGTAAAAGTGAAATTAATCAATATGAGACAAAGCAGGAAAAAAAATTTTGATAAATAAAATATGAAAATTTTTTTAATTAAAAATTTTTTTAAATAAAAATTAAAATAAGTAAAAAATCAAAATATGTAAAAAAAAATTAAATATTTATAAAAAAAAAAATAAAATTAATTTAAGTAAATATAAATTCTAAATAAAACTTAAAATATATATAAAAATGCGAAAATAAATTAACAATTAAAGGAATACGTAAAAAAATTAAATTAATAAATAATGAAAAAAATTAAATAAACATAAGGATGTTTTAAAAATAATTAAGGAAATACATATAAAATTATTTATAAAAACAAATTTAAATAAATATAAAATTTAAAAGAATTAAAAAAAAATTAAAATAATATCTAAAAAAAAATTTAATTATACAATATATAAGTTGAAAAAAAATTTAAATGAACAGTAGAATTAAAAAAAAACATTGTGTAAATACATATAAAATAATTTATAGAAAAGTAATTACATATGAAGTTCAACTGAAGTTAATTGATATGAAGACAAGGAGGAAAAAACAAAATAATAATAAAATATTAATATTAAAAAAATTTATATAAATTAAAAACAATATATATAAAAGTAATGAATATAAACAGTTTTAAAAAATGTAAATATATATAAATTGTAAAAAAAGTTTAAAAATCTCAAAAAAAATTCAAAAAAATATTTTAGTAAATATTAATTAAGTGAAAAAAAAAACAAATTTATGTAAACAAAATTTGAAAAATATATAAAAAGAATTATAGAAATATATGTATTATAAACATATATAGACATTTAAATAAATAAAAGAATTTAAAAGACTTGAGAAAGTACATATAAAATGATTTATAAAATATTTTTAATAAATATAAATTGTAAAAGAATTAAAAAAAATACAAATTATAATGATAATTAAAGTAATATATATAAAAAAATTTAAGTAAATATAAGTTTAAAAATATAAAAAAGTAAAAAAAAATTTTGATGTCAACTAATGTACATGCTTTCGCAAAATTTGTATATTTTTTTAAACGAGAAAAAATATTCTAATTAATGTATATAAATTAAAAAGTTTTACAAAGAACAAAACTCAAAACTAAAAATCTACAAAAAATAGAATACACTTTATATTCCAAAAATACAAGTAATTAATAAAAAAAGTACTAAGTTATAAATTTGGATAAGCTGCTTGAACATACAAAACAAATAAAAAATGTCTCCATCTTTACATATAAATACATACTTGTATATGTACATTCCAAACACAACCAAGACGCTGCAAATGTCCTTGTCCAGCAACGTCACTCAAATCCAATATGCAATTCATTCATTTCAACTGACAGTGTCATTTCCTTCTCTCCAATAAATGACTGCGACAAACACAATGGAGGCACTCACACTTCTTCGCCTCTTCTTTTTTTCGCATGTTCTTCCGCAATATCTATTTGGCATTCTCCTCAAACAGAATTTAATCAATTTTTCATTAAGCCGTCTCTTTATCCATTGAAGTTATTTGTTTTCGACTTATTTACTTGCCACTTCACAACAAACAGCCAAGTGCCAAGTCTTGCTGCTCAACGAGCAGTGAGATGGATTTTCGGTTTATACCGGCCCGGTCTGATTAGAAGACGTTTGTGGCAGCATTAACTGGTATTTGCCACAATCGCCGTGTACGCTTTGGTTAGCGTCGAAAAAACTTTTAGCTAACTGTATAATATGGAATTACATTTGTAGTTCGCAACAAATTTACATATGCATAAATATATTTGTAAATAGTTAGATATGAATAATCAATTACTTAGCTATTAACGTGTTTGCTAGTGTTGGTTTTTTTAATGTGTGTGTTCTTTTCGCACCTTCAATTATTTAGTCTTAAGTGCTAACCAACTTTTGATTGAGTGTAAATGTAAATAAAAGTATAGCTGGTGAAATAAAGGGAAAGGAACTGTTAGGTCTGGTTTGATTATTTGACTAAAAATCTGCATAAACTCATAAATTTAACATAAATTGATTAGTGCTAGTTTAATTGACTTTCGATTAACTAATTTCTCAAAATGTATGGTTCAATATGTGAGGTTTTGATTTAATTATTATTTTTTGGTTGGTTACGTTAGTTATATTTTTTTTATAAATATTTTAGTGATTTAGTAGTATATATTAATAAAATAAAATTTTAGAAATGCAGTGATGTGAAGTCTCTATATTGTTTGTTCTATAACAATTTTATGAAACAGTTAAACCCCGAAGTGTTAACTGATGTTCTCACAAAAATATAGACTTAATAGACAACATCTAGTTTAGAATAAACAGTATATATTACTGCCGGTAGTTTGCTGAATATTATTAGAGGCAAATTTTATGAAATAAGTAATCCCATTATGTGATAGCTAGAACAGTAACGCAGATTGATTCCAACAATTCCAACTAAAACGAACCATTGTTGCTGCTCAACGTTTGAAACAACTTACATTGTTCTAAATTCAGGTCTTGAATTCGCTTAAACCTAATTTTCTCGAAACCGGTTCCAAGTCTGATGAAACTCAGTACAAATGAATTGCCCGGAGCTTTCAGCATGCTTAGCATTACAGACCTTAGGTCTTGATGTATACGAGTATAATTGATAAATTTGTTCGTTTTGCGCGATTAAGTTCTCAATTGAATACAATTAAAGATTTTAATTGCGAAATAAAAGAAGCTAAACTTACTTATAAGTATTTCCTTACAAGCCTGTTGTATATGCTTAATATGTTCAAATAAATATTCTAGATAAAAATTAAAAATGTAAAAAAGTAATGATTACCCGGTTTAAAATTTAATTAAGTCAATTAAAAGGAATGTTTGAAATACTTGTAATATTTGAAAGTTAAATACCTGACATATTGCCAAATTTATGCTAAGCCTCAACTGAGAAGATAACTGCAAATTTTTGAACACTCGATTTAAAATTTAATTGAGTAAATCTTAGAAATGTTTGAGAGTTATAAAAGAGTCCCATTGACGAAAGTACTTGTATGGTCAAAAGTAAGTTTGAAGTGAGAATGATATCTAAATTTTTATACACTCGATTAAAAGATTTATTTGAGTCAGTTAAAAGTTGTTTGAGAGTTGTATAAGAGCTTCTTAGACGAAAGTATGGTCGAAAGTAAGTCTGAACTAAAAAAAATATCAGCTGAATTCCTTTACACTCGATTTAAAATTTAATTGAGTCAATTAAAAGAAATGTTTGAAATTTGTATAGGAGTCTCCTGAGCAAAAGTAAGTCTGGCCAGAGAAAAATATCTGAATATGTTTAAACATTTGTTTTAAAATTTAATTGAGTCAATTAAAAAATTCTTGAGCGTATATATAAGAGTCTCCTTGACGAAAGTATGGTCAAAAGTAAGTCTGCACTAAGAAAGATATCTTAAAATTTTTAAATACTCAACTTTATTTTAAGTTTTAATTGAGTCACGTAAAAAAAATATTTTTTAGAATTGTAAAAGAGTCTCTTTGGCGAAAGTATGGTCGAAAATTAGTTGTTTTTAAATGTAATTGAGGCAATTAAAGGAAATCTTTGAAATTTGTATAGGAGTCCGTCCATTTGTTTTAAAACTTAATTGAGTCAATTAAAATAAAATGTTTTAGAATTGTATAAAAGTCTTTTTGTTAAAAGTGTGGACAAAAGTAAGTCTGCACTAAGAAAAATATCATCTAAAAAATTTTAAAATTTCTCTTTAACAATTAGACTCTTAGTCTTAGTTCAATTAGTAATACTTAAGCTCAGAGCCTTCCAATATACATACATATGTATGTGGCAAAGTTCATACTGTATTTAAGAATTATTAATTTTCCAATTTGCATATTTTCTTTACATTTAATTTCATTTATTTGCTTTTAATTTTTTGCTCCAATTGTTGAAATTACCGGAATGGAAATTTCTCTATTTAAATATTTAATTTCTTGGCAATATTTAATTAAACAATTCATGGCTCATTGACTCATTGACATTTATGACAACAATTGGCACAATAACAGTATCGCCGAAGTTGTTAACTGACAGCATTCAACTGTACACACGCACACGTGACATACCGCATATCGGTTCATCTGTAATTGAGTAAATGAACATAACACTACAATTTTCATTTTCGCATGTAAAATACCAATATTTGCTGCCTGCTGTGTAATGAAGTAATTAACAACTTACCGTGCAAACAACAGTTACATACGAGCTGTTTTATTGCTATTGTTGTCGGATGGCAGAAGTCAGCTTTCTATCCGCCTACGCGATCTTTAACACGGTGGTGGCGGTCGAAAATATTTTTGTGTTGTAGACTTTTATCTGCATAAATATGTTTTGTGTGTATGACGCAATACCATATTTACAAATGAATTATAGCAAATATTAGTTTTGCCAAATTATCTGAAGTTTTTCCGGGACGCACGAATTTTGTCACAACAGAAAATGTCATAAAGAATATATCTCTTTTACTTTGTTTATTACGAAATACGTTTTTATAAATATTTGTATAAAAGCTCACGTCACAAAAAACTTTGAGAAACTTCTTGGGCTGTTGTTGTAATTGTTTCTAGAATTTTTTGTAGAAATATGTATTTATTTCTAGTAATAAAATATAAGCAGTTATTTGAAACATGCCACTCACGTCGTTGACAAATGTTGTGTTTGTAGATACACATTTCTCAAAATCAATTACGATACGACAACATTCAACAACTTTATAGATCTTATCTTCAATTGAAAAATTGCCTAGGTGACTGTTATTGTGACGTTGAAAGATAATAAAATAGAAAAATTAAAAATAAAATTGTTGAAGTTTCAAAGATAAATGTGCAGCTGTAAAGTTTGAGAGCGTGAGATAGAGTGCGAGAAAAGGCAGAGAAGAGTGAAAACGCAGTGTGGGAAAAGGACGGATATACACATATAGTTTGAGAGAGAGGAAAATACAGACAGAGTAACTGAAAGAGAAGATTGAGCAGTAAGTACAAAATATAGGTGAATACAAAAGTAAAGATAGAAGATTCGAAAACAAATACAGCTCAGTGGTGGTTCCAAAAAATTAATTTATTAGGTGTTATAGGTAATTTCCAGTGATCCCTAGATGTTGGACAATTTACGAAAATTTCTGAGTAATTCAGTATTATTGCTATAAATACTGAAGCAAATTTTGGATAGTAAAAGTCTTGCTACTGATTTGAATTATATAATAGTTGTGAATCGGAGTTAATCGGAAATAAACTGCAGTTTTTTCGGTTGCATACAACGGTAAGTAGCGAGAAAAATTAAAAACTAACAAGAGTTGAGGTGTTATTTATCTAGCCTAGGATATGAGTGGTAGTGGATGCATTTACCCGCATACTAATTTTTCAAAGTAGAAATTGAACTTAACAGATCCATTAAGTAAACAAAGCGAGATAATTTCTGATTAAACTTAGTTTATGGTATGTTGCAAAACGGGATTCTTATAGTTTGATATTTTCACAGCACCGAGTTGAGTATTTTTATGTCAAAAGGGGGCGAATTGTGCAAAAAACTGTCGGGTACCAAAATTATAGCTTTATTTTCAACTTTATAAAGCTTTAAAGGCTACTAAATCTTGTACAAGGTTGATACTAGCTGTATTTGGGAATAATAATGAAAGAGAGAGAAAGAGAGGGAGATAGAGAGTGGGAGAGAGTGAGTGAGTATGTATCTCTATTAGGTCAATATCAATTGTCTTCTAGATGCAAAAAACTGTCGGGTACCAAAATTATAGCTTTATTTTCAACTTTATAAAGCTTTAAAGGCTACTAAATTTTGTACAAGGTTGACACTAGTTGTATTTGGGAATAATAATGAAAGAGAGAGAGAGAAAGAGAGAGATAGAGATAGAGGGAAAGTGAGTGAGTGCCGAGTGAAAGTGACGAGTGAGTGGCGAGTGAGTGAGTATGTATCTCTATTAGTTCAATATCAATTGCCTTCTAGATGCAAGTCTAAATTTATGTTAGTTGATTTTTTTCTAATTTTAACTTACTAAATACATAGGTTTTCAAAGTTTTTTTTGCATCAAAATTATTAAACTTTCATTCATATATAACAGTTATTTTTCGTTTGCTCTTGTTCTTCTATTACTTTCACTGCAGTCCTCTTACTACCAACGCATAATTTAAAATTATTATTATTTTCCAATAACTACTTCAAAAGCTGTGCGCCCGAAGCTTTGGCGCTTGAAAAATAAAAGTGTACACAAGCATCCAAGCACAAGCCGCAACTATTAATTGCAATATTAATTCCATATTAAACTTTCGCAGCAAAATAAATGTTTGTGTTGCATTTAATTAGACACTGAAATTGAGGCAAACCGGAATTACGAGTATGGAAAAGTACGAAAAAAATGCGAAGAGTTGCCCTTTCAAATAAATTTCAATTTAAACAAGCGTAATAAAACTATAAAATTCATATAATGATAGCGGCACACAAACGCAGACACACATATACAAACACACAGACACATAGCAATCGATAGGAAACTCATGCCAGCCAGCAACAACAGCCACCGACAGCAATTGCCACGCAACACACCGACACATATGAGCTTTTATACTTACCGCACGGCTCCTTCGGTTGCGCGCCGCTCCTTCCTGTGATCCTGGCGCTGGGCAAAAGCAAAAGTTTCGACTGCAGCCGAGCGCAATGCGTCATTTGACCTACAAACATAAAGTTTTCATTCTATCATTGCGCTCTGTGGCAAATGCGAATTGTATAGTTGTTTTTGCTGCTGGTATATTGCGAAAATCAAAATTTATTTGCAGCATGATTTTTATGAAATTATTGTACTTATACACACACATGTGTGTGTGTTTGTGTTATTTTAATATTTTTATTCTTTCTATTTGCTGTATTCGTAGTCAAACCCTTTGGCACTCACACATATTATGTATACACACACCCACGAACACACCAGCAAATACATATGCATAAATATAATAGAGCCGTTGGTGCGCATTGTTGGGCTTGGCTTCGCAAAAACGTTGCTCTGCGGCATGAAATGCAAAAAAATTAAATAGAAAATGTGAAAATAAAGTATTTTAACTGAAAATCGAGAGAGAAAATATAAAATTACTAATTCTATGGATATTCGCCGCAAGCGCTGTAAGTGATACAATAATGCATTTTCCTCTGTGTTTGCACCGTCAGCAGGAGTTGTGTGGCAAAAACGAAACGAAATGAACAAAAAGCCAAAAACAAAAGCAATAAAAATGAGTAAAAACGTTAACTTCGGTTGCTCCGAAGTTATAATACCCTTTACAAATAAAAAAGTTTTTCTTACAAGAACTAGATTTTGATCGATCAGTTTGCATGACAGCTATGTCCGATAGTGGTCCGATAGCGATGCTTTCGAGAAATGAGCAGCCTCTTGATAATGAAAGGACGTGTGCAAAATTTCAAATCAATAGCTCAAAATCTGAGGGACTAGTTCTCTTATATACCGACAGACTGACATGACAAAGTCGACTCAGCGCGTCATGCTGATCATTTATATATTATTATTATTTACATTACTTTGTGGCAAACGTCATATAAGAGCTATAGCCTGTGCAGGGTATAAAAACAAAAAAAGAATAATAAAAAATGAAAAAATGAATTATATAAACGTTTGCGTTTGGCAAATAGAGAGTTTCTTTGAAAGTGGGTCGTAGATGGCGCACCAGGCTAAACCGGTTCAACCATTTCGTTTGCCAGCTTTATCTTCAATATTGCAACATGTTTGTGCTTTCTTTGGCTGCTGATTCAGCAATCGTATTGCGCCGTAATGCTTGTTTTTCTGCGCTGCAGGGGTGGATAGTCACAAAGGTAATGACTTGACTTGTGGGAAGATAAAGCATACAAATTTCTAATACCAAAGGAAATCTTCCTCAGACATTTGACTGAATCTGTACAAATAGGAGTGCATTTTTTGAGTAATTCTACTGCATGCTGACTAATTCTTACAATTAAATGAGGATAGCTTCGTAAAAACTCTACACTTTTTTTCTCATCTATTGTAAATGGATGGACGCAAGTCATTGTTAGGATCATTATGCTCCCAGTCGAAACTAAAAGAAGCACCAATTAGCAAATTGGTGGATTTGTTCAAATGCCTAAGTCTTATCCCACTCTAGCTATTCTGAAGTTTTCCTTTCTTGCTTCAAGCAACCCATGAATAATACTCTATTTATTCAAATTGTAAGAGATCATATAAGCTTGTAGGCACCTACAAAGCGCTGCTGAATTTTGTGCGAAATTCAGGATACTGAGATTGAATCCGGGACTGTTACTAATAATCTACTGAGCTTTTGGGCCAACAACGTAAGTTTCTATAAAAGCCGATTTTTTTTTTGTCCCTCAACGTCGACTGTTTCATACATTTATAGTATGATATTTTCAGAGATTAATTAAAATTATATTTCTAAATTTCGCCAGATGCCAACGAATGCGTCGACTTTCTCACTTATCGCGCAGAATGACCTTCAAACCGGCAGCTTATGCTGTTAGTAGTACTTTCGTAGGAAATATGTTTGTTGGTGTTATAGCGTCTATCTAAACCAGGGGGTGACCAAAAAATTTAACTCCGGAGCCACAAAAAAAAAAAAAAAAAATTCAGTGTTTGTTGTAAGTGATGTTGTTGTGAGCGAAACGTAGACAACTAAACTACAGCGTGCCTGTTGGTTGGTCTCAAGTGGGCACTTTTTGCGTGAAGGTCATCAGATGGAAAAGTCTTATCTTAGAACTTTATCTAAAATTCTACTTTGGTCCGTCGTATATGAGAGATAGTATTGCCTAATTTTTTTAAATTTGTTCAGTACTACAACTGATTATAATTATTGCTATCAAAGTGGTTTTAAGATACCAATGGCAGTGGCTTTAAGGTCTACTAAATATATAAATACTTGTACTTTCCACTTATCGGACAAGATCTTCAAGAGCTTCATTTAAAATTTATTTGAAGTGCCAAATAACTAAATTAGACCTTCAAAATTCACTTATCGTTAAAAATTCTCTATAAAATAACTTCAAACTACGGGCACCCTATTTTCTCACTAACGAAAACTATGTTTAGTATACAGCCTGTGATATGTATTATGTTGTTGACACAACAAAAAAGTGAAAAATATTAAATTTATTGTAGCTGCGGTTGTTGTTGTGGGCACTAAATAAAACTGTTGTTGTCTCAGCGGTTACTTCAGCGCCTAGCTAGTTGCGGTGTTATTATTGTTGACAGCAAACTGCTGCTGGTGATGCTGTTACTATAGCAGGCGCTTTTTCAAAACGAGATTTGTCCCAAAAAGATAGCAAAAGAGACTTCACCGGCAGCTGCGGCGGCATCGTTGCTTTTCGTGACATAATTGTAAACGCTGTTTGGTTGGAATTACCTATCGCCGAGTTGGGCACAACGTTGGACACTTGATCCACTTGCCGGCAAAGCGTGGTTTGGTAGTTTGCGCTGCAAGCTGTTGTTGTTAGTCCTGGTGTTGGCGTTGGTATTACCGCTATCTTCACTAACCGGCTGCGATCTGCTGCTGAAGTTGAGTGATGGCATAATAATTCCATGAGATATCCAACGTCGCGACGTGTTTTACTTCAAAATCACACCAAACAATCAATCACTATTGTTGCTGTGGCTCGTGTTGTTGTTGTGGTTGTGTGGGTGTTGCGACTATCGGATAGTGGCTACGCGTGTGGCAGCTATTGATGAAGCCGCGTGGGATGCGTTGAAAGTGAAACTGTATTTTCTTGTTTGGAAGTGGGTTTAACGG